CCAGACCCGACTGGGCCCCCCTCCTGGCCGCACCCTCACCTGCACCTCCACCACCCAGTCCACCAGGATAGCCCGCATCTCCATGGTGATGTCGGGCTGGTTCCTCATGTAGTCCGGGAGCAGGAAGCTCTTCTGTCAAAGGACGGTGCTGGTGAGGGAGGGAACAAGGCTCCAGGGCAGCCCCCGGGCCTTCCCGGCGCCATGAAGCAGCACCAGAAAGCACGTCTGCTGGAGCCCGCCAGCCCCGCTTCTCCTCCGAGACCCAAAAGAGGCGAGAGGGCCGGGTGGGCTTTTTCAGCAGCACCACCTCCTCTATCTGTTCTCCGCTGTGGCTTTAATCTGAATTCAGTCATATGGAACCGAACCCAGAATCTTGAGTGGCGAAGTAACGGAAGCCCTCCCCGTGCCACCACCAAGCACCTCTCGCTCCCGCATGTAGATGAAGATGTCTTTCGCGTACTCGGCATTGGCATAGGGGTCGTCCAGCTGGCCCTTGTCTATGTCCTCAGCCGGAGTCACCTGAAGAAAAGTGACTTCTTGTAAAAGGTACCCAGCTGAGTTGGGGACTGGGAGGCGGAGCTGCCTTGGTCCCAAATTTGAGGGGGCCCTAACCGGTGTGCTGTGCCCCCTTGGCACAGCCCCAAACACCTTGCTCCCCTCCCAGTTGCTCTCCACAAGTGCCCGTGGTGGGAAGTGGGGCAGGGAGGCCCACTCCCACCTGTTTGCAGGCTCAGCCGCAAGGCAGAGAGCGAGTCTAGGGCATCGGGCTGTCACGGTGGGTCCTGGGGGCCTTTCTGGGATGAAGGCCTGTTACAGGGCTCAGGCCTGTGTCTCAGCAGCAGCACAAGGATGCCAGGACCAGTGACCCACAAAGCAGGAGGGCACCCTGGAGGCAGGTGCTACCAGTAAGGAGCCAACAGCCACGAGGGCGGCTTTTTCCTACCAGGCCTGCTGGCGCCGCCACCACGACCAGCGGGTCGACCTGCTCCTCTCTGAGGCCACGGTTGACCGCATCGCCCAGCTCAGCAGGACCTTCCTCGGAGGGGGCTTTGTCCAGAGATCTGGAAGAGCAGGCCACCGTTAGAAGACAGGGCAGGCCAGAGGCAGTCTGCAGGCTGGTGCAACATTGGCAGAAACAGCTCCCTTCCCACTTGGTTAGCCTTCAATTAACAACACTCCGGAAACTCGTTGGCAGAAAAGCCAGGCCCAGCCAGATCGAGGTCTGCCAAAGGTCAAGCCAAGAGCCAGAGGTCGCATTCAGACTCAAGGGGGGGTGCCTGCCCAGGCGAGAACGGAATGGCAGCTTTGCCAGCATGGCTTTTGTTCAAAGAGAGCGCTCTGAAGTTGCCAGCCTTGAAGCCACCAGAGACTGAAGGGTGGCCTGGGTGCATTGTACAGAGCTCGGGGCCCAGCAGAGGAGGCAGGTGGGGAGAGGAGGCAGCACCACAGCCCTCTTCTGCCCGGCCCCTCACTTCTTCAGGTTGATCTCATTGTTCTTGGCCACGTTCAGTGGGGCGGATCCCTTGGAGGCCTTCTTGGGAATCATCTTCACTGGCTCCTTCCTCCCCGCAAGGCCCTGCGCCTCATGAGCCTGTAAGGGGGAGACCAGGAGGAGCCACTGAGTGCCACCCCAACGCGAGTGGGCATTTGCGTCAGGACCCAGGGCCACACACCGACTCTGCTCACCCATCCCTGGAATGACACGCATCACAGGGAGTAGAAGCTGCCTCCAGCAGCTGACACGGGGCCCTCCAGGTGGACTCCGGGCAGCCCCCAAGAAACACGTCTGTGCTTACGTTGGTAATATCTCCAAAGGCTGAACGCTTCCTGGGTGCCCCCTGGGGCGAAGAGGGGGATCGTTTTGCCTGAGAAATCTCCTCCTAGAACGGAAGAGAAACAGGAGGCCACTTGGTGCAGCACACGGCTTTCCTCTGGGCATACCAAGGCACCCAGAAAGCAGAGCCATGTGCCTCTTCGGAGCAAAATCAAGGGTAGCGGCTTATGCTGGGCCCAAGCCCAGAACTCCGTACGGAGTGGAGGTCACCAGCCACCAGAAAGGAGACTGGGGAACCGGAAGAGGAGCTGCGAGGGTAACCTGGTGCTCTTTAGCTGAGAACGGAGGTGGCGACAGCCCCTTGCCTGCCTCCCCACTTGCTCCCGGATCAACCAAGAACAGGCCTCCCCCGCGGCAAAGCCAGCTTCGCACGGACTCGTGGAACCTCTTGCCACAAGATTCAGTCGCCAGCCTCCGCCCCTTCAGGTGGGCCAGAAAAGTTCACCCAGAGGAGGAAGGCGAACAGACTCCCAGCAGGGAACGTGAGGCAGCTTTTTCGTCTGCCTTCTCATCTGAAGGCTCCTCGTGCTGCAGCAGCACATAGGGAGCAACCTGCGACCAAAGGCAGGCAGACTGCCTCTGAAGCGGGAGGCTCTATCCCTCCATCCATAGGTTGCCCCTCCACGGATTGCCTAAATTCCTATTGCGGCGGGGGGGGGGGGGGG